ATGAGTTCTGTTTAAACAAACAGACATAAGTGAGATACAGCCGAGGTGAGACCTCATTGCTCATTGCTCCCAGAATGCTTTGCTGTTGTTCTCTCTCAGTGTTTACAGGCTGGTATTGATTAGTTTATGCGCGGTATGTTGTAGGTAAACTCTGCTGATTTTCCTCACTATCACGGCTGAAAATCAGAGCCTCATGTGTTTCATCGTGCCAAGATCTGGCCAAACAAAATAGCTTGAAACTCAGACTTATCAGCCTCCTTTAAACAAACTGTTCTCTCTCTCCCTTTCTGTTTTAGATGCATATATCTCACTCTCTCTTTCTATCTCTCTTTCTTCATATGCCGTCCTTGCAATTGTTTTCAGCTGTGGGGAAAGTAATCACTCCAGTCTTGGATCTATGCATTCTGAGCTCATAACGTAACAAGAAGAGGGCATGATGGGCCAGAGGAGGAGGGGTGGGCACCATGTTCTCCTCAAACTTTAACATGGAAAGGTTTATAGACAATCATGTCAAACATTTCCTCATCCTCAGAAGTATTCGAACATTTTCATTTTGATTTCCTTCACGTGCCCAATAGTTGGTTTGATGACTGGATGTATATCGAGAAACACAATATATTGTTTTTCACAGAGAATGAGCCAATGATCGCTTAATAACTTCCTATTTTTTTGCCAAATAGCAGATTATCTTATCCAAAGTGACTTACCATATTGGGTCATTCTGAGAAATCCCCATGACTTATGACAACTGACTTTAATTAACAAGATACAGAACTTGGTCAAATACAGTGGTTTAATGGTTTTAACTCTGTAGAATGCAAAATAAAATCAATTACATTTATATTTAAATGTTTGTTATTCATAAAAATATCATGTCCCCATTCATCACTGTTAGAATTAGGGTTGGGTACCGAAACTCGGTGCCAATAGGGAACCGGTTCCGACGTAAACGGTAGTAACCAGACCGAAAAGAACGAAAATTTCGGTGCCTGATTTCGGTGCCTAACTTCATTAGGCACACACGCACACACAAGGTCTCTCGCTCTCTCCCTCTCCGCCGTGCGTGTGCTACACAGTTTGGAGCACAGTTTCTTCTGTCTCGCATGCGCGCTCTTTCTCGCAAGGTTTGGCTGCATTTCACGTGTAAAATTACGTGTCAGAACGCCCTCTGGGTGTGCCGATAGTCTGAATCCCATATAGAATCAAGCCAATTCATTGGCTGATGGCGCGGGCGCCGCATCGACGCACTTACGTCGTCATATTATGTTGGCGCGCGCGCGCCATCTGCTCCTCTGATTTCTCTGCCGAAAAAGGAAGCTGGTCGGCAGCGCGAGGAGCTTGGCAGCGTCCCGTTCCCTATTGAGAGATATGTTACACCAGTAACCAGAGATGTTCTCTTTCATAGGTTCACTCAACGCTGCGTAGCTAAGAAGCAGTGTATTTGTATTTGTAGGCTGCTGTATCACGTGCCGTTTGAACTGACGCGCTACAGCGATCTGTCACATTTCAATGAGCCAAAACGTTATTTATTGTGTGAATCTCGTAAAAATATTGACAGAATCTGACAGCTGTGGATTTGTTCCATATCAAAAGTAACCTTCTCTGTCTTGTCTGTCCGTGTCCTCTTTGTCCGCGATTTTTCTGTGTGAAAAGGGTCATTTGCGTGAGTCTCACGGTCAATGCGTGAGAGTTGGCAGCTCTGCCTGCTAGTAATCTCTATTCATTCTCCAGTATTATTACATTGTTTGATACAATATTGTTTCATTTGATATTATGTAAATATGAATTTTTATTTTATATTGGTTTTATTATTACCATATGTTACTTGTATTTATATTGTTTAAAGATTTAAGTTAATATTGTGTCCAGTTTGGCCCTGTAAATTAAAGGGTATTATTTTTTGATAACGTGTGTGCGGTTTCATTTTCTTAAGTACCGATTTAAGAACCGTTTAAGCACCGGAACCGTTTAAAAAATACCGAGTAGGTACTGGAATCGGATAAAACCCAAACGATACCCAACCCTAGTTAGAATGCAACAAGCTGTAATAATAAAATAAAATAAGAATAGAAATAGATTAAGAAAAGAAAAATAATTTAGTCTTTCCTCTTTGCACTTTGTGTTTGGTTGGTTTGCTCATATAAAATATAGGATTGGTATTATATATTTTTGGGGGGCACATTAAAAAACACAGGTAATTTAAGTAATTTAAACCGATATAATATACAGTAATATAATATACAGTAATATAATATAATATAATATAATATAATATAATATAATATAATATAATTAGTGGTGGGCAACGATCTTTCACGATTAATCTTTTCCAAAATAAGGTTTTGTGTTTACAATATATGTGTGTACTGTGTATAATTATTTTGTATATATAAATACACATATGCATGTATATATTTAAAAAAATATTTGCATGTATAAACTGTATATATATTTATACATAATTTATATTATATATAAAGGTTTTATATATAAATAAACACATTTTTTCTTAAATATATACATGCATATGTGTGTATTTATATGAACAAAATAATTATACACAGTACACACATAATATGTAAACACAAACTTTTATTTTGGATGCGATTAATCGTTGCCCAGCACTAAATATAATATAATATAATATAATATAATATAATATAATATAATATAATATAATATAATATAATATAATATAATATAATATAATATTTTTAGGTTGATATAGCACTGAAACTGATTGACTATCAGAATTTACTCATTTCATTCAAATGATATTAATAAGTATTTTAATTCAAACTGTGAATCGTGTTCAAAATAACAACAATACATAAGGATTAGAAGTAGTAGTTTGAGGCCATGTGGTGGACCCAAAATGTCTATGGAAATTGTGACCCTATAAGTTAAGGCACAAAGGGCAACATTTCCTGAGAATGACAAAATTGCTGGTACAGTCTGGTTAAAAGGTTATTCTAGAGCTTGTGGTATCATGGTAATTCTATATATCCCTTTTTTTTGCAGTATATCTATACCTGCACTCAAACCAGTATAGGGAGCTTTGTATACAGTAGCTAGTCCAAACCTGTAATGCTACTACAACCCCCAAATCTTAGGGGACACAATGATAATTATGCTTGTTCTGTTTCATGGGGACCACAACCACAATTACCGAAGAAACACACAATTTACCTCACCTTAGATGAGCATGTTCACTGTTATAACTGCACGAGTTGATGTGTGAAAGATCGAACTGATGCGTACCACCCACAATGCACTGAGAGATGGAAACTTGGCTTTCTTCGAGATTTACTTTAGCAGCAAAAGCAACATCTCAGTCTTTCAATTTACTCCAGATCCCACACACACTCCCATGAGCAGCAACGGTGGAGCCTGATACCAACTCCGTCACTTCTGCACCAATAGCACCCCTGTGATGACCGTGGATCTGCTACTCTGGTTGAATAGTGTTGATGTGCAACAGATGCTAATTGGTCACAGGAGGAGACTCTGAAGCGCTCCAAAGACGTGTCAGATTAGATATACAACGTGTCTGCTCAAGGTAAGTGTTTCCTTCAGCACAGAATATCTTTTGTCAAAATTGTGTCAATTATTCTCTGGTGAAATAAATAGATTATTTTTCAATGTTTACCAATTATAGGCCACCCAGGCAATAAACAAGGGAACGCCACTGGAACTGCATATACACAATTTGATATATACAACGCACACACACACACACACATCCTCATTCAATCTGCTCTCCTCCTGTGCCACAAAAATTCAGATCCCTACCTCTCAACCGCACTGCTCAAAAACCTCGCAGAACTTGACGGAGTTGACTGAGCATGCCCAGAGGGTGCTCGACTCATTTGAAGGAAATTGTAAAGGAGACACAGAAAGCTAAACAAATTACACAGAGGAGAGCTGAGACAAACAGAGAAAGAGGGGCGCCATAATTCTAGCGGTGTTAGGTTTCTCGTCCCTGGACATGCTGATATTAAATCTAAAACTGGAACAGAAATGTTGCACAATCAAGTGCGCTTGAATGTACCAACCTGGACGCTGCAATGACGATGCTTTGAAATATTTCTAGCTGTGTAGGCTTATCAGTCATGTGTGTGTCAACACAAAGCTCGGCTTAAAATAGTGTGTTTTTGGCCATTACTGTTTTAAAGGGTTAGTTCACCCCAAAATGAAAATTCTGTCAGTAATTACTCTCCCTCATGTTGTTCCAACCCCGTAAGACTTTCGTTCATCTTCGGAACACAAATTAAGATATTTTTGATTAAATCTGAGAGCTGGATCACTCCTCCATAGGCTTCTTAAGGGATCGAAACTGGCCGGCCCAAAGGTTATGAAAGACATCGTTAAAATAGTTTGAGTGACTACACCGTAGTGTAACTGCGGCAAGCTTCTAGGTTGTACGTCACACGCATCACACACATGACCAGCGTCGGCCAATAGTGAGCCTGCGCTTGACGTGCAACACAGAAGCTTTGCGTAGTTTCACTTCGTGAAATCTCACGGCCCACAGAGAAGGAAATGAATAGTTGAATAAAGTCGTTATTTTTGTTTGTTTTTTGCGCACAAAAAATATTCTCGTTGCTTGATAAACTTAAGATTGAGCCACTGTAGTCACTCGGACTATTTTAACGATGTCTTTCATAACTTTTGGGCCGGCCAGTTTTGATCCCTTAAGAAGCCTATGGAGGAGTGATCCAGCTCTCAGATTTAATCAAAAATATCTTAATTTGTGTTCCGAAGATGAACGGAAGTCTTACGGGGTTGAACAACATGAGGGTGAGTAATTACTGACAGAATTTTCATTTTTGGGTGAACTAACCCTTTAAGAGGGAAATGGACTAACATGATTTTCTTTCCATTTATATCTTTATGAAATCAAATCAGCTATTAACCATTGTGAGACAACTGAAATTGATAGATCAGAATATATCAGACAGATGATGGATGGATGGATGGATGGATGGATGGATTCTCACCTGGCTTCCTACTGTTTGAACTGTTCTGTTTGTTCTCTTTGTACACCAGCTGCTTAATCCACAATGTTGGAGCTGTAATCTCTGTGGTGATAAAACAAACAAACTGATTTGCACTTGTATATCAGTCATATACATAAATGCAAGACTCGTGCTCATGTTGCTTGTATTTGCATTTGGTCGAAACTTACCCTCACCTTCTGGGACGACATGCGTCTCCATGGTTGGTGTGGGCTTGGAGCCATCATCTGGATTGAGGGTGAGAAAGAAACGGAAAGAGACTACCATTATTGAGGTTAATACAATCTACTCTCCACAACTGTTGAATGATTGGGATTTGCACATGGCCCGGCCATTAGCACAGAAAACAAAGTGGGTGAGGGATAGAGGGTACAAAGAGAGAAAATACAAGTCAGAAAACACAGATAAATAAGAGTATTCATCCACTCAAGAACAGACACACACATCTCAGAATGCGTAAATCAGCTTTCATATGCATACTGTTTAGATAAATAGTAATACAATTGTGTATAAACAAGCAATTGTAGATAATTTAAAGGAGCTGTATGTAAGATTGTGGCCAAAACCGGTACTGCAATCACTTTCAAATTACTGTAGAGCGGTGTATCCCCTCCCCCTCCCCCCTGACTCGAGGTTGCCAGATCGGCTGCATTTTTTTATCCGACACGTGTGTAGCTGCAGCTGTGGTAACTAGAGCAGAGCTGGCAACCCGGATGCCGCAACACTACTGACTTCGTGAATGGTCGATAGGTGGAGGGTGGAGCATCAGACCAAAACACAACATGACAACATCAACATCAGTTGAGGGCTGCAACTGCACTTTTTGAATGACAATATCCTGGCCGGACTACTGTTGTCAGTGATATAAGTATTTGAAATGAACATGATTTCTCAATGTCTAGTGACATATCAGGGCCATTTTATGATTAATTCAAATAAATTTCTTACATACAGCTCCTTTAACACACTCAGTCAAAAGTGTCATGATAATTGAGAAATGTCAAACGTCCTACAGTACTTACCCACTTATGTTCTATTGCATTCTGGCTGATTTCCTTGTGGCTCACATCATTGTAGGCCCTGGCAGTGGAGGGGCCAAAGCCACAGTGCTAAAGCCACAATAAGGTGGCAGCGAAAACCAGTTCAAAGAATACATGTAGTTCACTGAACTGAATTACAGCCAAAGTGATTGTAATTTCCCCTGTCCACCATGTGTGCATTTAAATCAGTGATCCCCTCTGGAAAATAAGTACATGTTCTGAAACTGAATTTTATTATTCACTGTCCTTTATATACAAGGGTCATTGAGAAAGATAATGGCAGTAGTAATAAAATGAACTATAAACGGTTAAAAGCCAATTCTTTGTTGTTGATTGTTTGTTTTTATAGACGAGAGTCAGAGAATGTGTCATTGAGAGCAACTAGTGACCAATAAAAAAAAAGAAAAAAAGTTTCGAGATAAATTTCAGCATCGCAGCATTTGATTCAAAGTAATTGAAGATTGGAAAAAAAATAAGACAAAAAGCACAATATTGTGTTCACAAATTTTGAATTGCAAATCACGGTTGTGTTTTAGGCTTAACAGGATAGTTCAAACACTGAGAAATGTTTCAAAATATCTTCTGTTTTGCGGGGAAAAAAACCGAATTGCAGGTTTGGAACACCATAAGGGTCAGAAAATTATAGAGTTTTCATTTTTGGTAAAACTATCCATTTAAAGCTGTGAAGATTAAATAATGTTGAGTATGTAGCAAGCTTTGTAGCTAGCAAACGAGTGCCCTAGCTAGCCTCCACTAGCCTGTTAAAAAAATACTACAATGAGTTCTCCACAGTCAGATTTTTACTGGTCTCGTGAAGCCAAACCTTCAGACTGACAGCAGAAGGTCTGGACTCCATATCTGCTTCCGTTGGCCAAGGACCGCCCAGAGGCCGTCTGACTGACATGTAGAGCAACCAATCACAATTCGTTTGGTTCAGTGTCATGTTTAGGGGGTAAAAAAATATAAAGTCAATATTCCTACAATAACAGGCCGACATGCAACCAATAAATCATTCATTGAAGAACGTTGTGAAAATTCACTGCAACAATGGCAACAATGAGTCTCCAAATTGTTCACGTCTCCTGGAATCTTGTAGAATTTAACCAATCAGATAACGACTTCGAAACACCTGAAGTGTTTTCCAATTTCCTACCAATGGTCCATGGGCGTGACCAGAGATGGTCTTATTATTGGGGGATACGAGAGTTCGTGGCTCTAACATTGGAGAAAGCGTAAAGGCCAACTTGGATCACGTGTGCCTTGATAACCAATCACATTACAGCCTTGACGTCATTGAATTTCGTTCATAGTTGTGCGACAGTCAATCACTGTTTGGGGATACCATAGAAATTAATGAGTCTGTCGCGCAATTGACCGTGACTTCTTTTATAAAACAGCATTTTTTTGGTGTAAACTCTAAAAAAAGATCAATCCAAAACGGATGTTTAAGAGCAAACATGTTGACATCCATTAAAAAGGCCTCTTGTTGTCTCCTTCCCTGTGTACCGCAGCGTTAGCAGGTGTTACGCTTTTTCAGCCTAAGTTTGCAGGCTTGCCTTCAATTGGCTTTGGCGTAACGTCTGAGGCTAAGACTAGACTTTTACAGACTAGCGGAGGCTACCCATTAGCTAACTACCTAGTTGACTACATGTGATTTTGAAGCTTTAAAGCCTAAAACCCAACAACGAATAGACTCTTTATTTTTAACAACATCAGAGCTCATTGTAGGTCTTTCTTAAAAAGTGTAAATGTCAATTATGCTTAGGGATGGGAATTGATAAGAATTTAACGATTCCGATTCCATTATCGATATTGCTTATCGATTAGATTCCTTATCGATTCTCTTATCGATTCTCATTGGGTGAGGGAATAAGTACAAATTTGTTTGTTTGTATTAACTTATTGAACTTATAATTTATTTGTTTGTTAATTATTATTAACTCGCTGACACAGCACAGCGTATTAGGGGTGTGAACCCACACTGGTCTCATGGTTCGGATTGATTACGATTATCATGTCATCGATTCAGTTCAATTCGATATCTCGATGCATTACATGCACTGCATCCTCAATTTTACTTCAAAAGTGATGTGTGCGTGCGCGTGTTCACCTGTTCGTGAAGTCGCAGTGACAGAAACAGTGACATTCCAGTTTAAGTTTCATGGGACTAAAGTCTGTTCATAATGTGTGGCCAAATGTTTCTGCATATTCGAGGTATTAATAATAATAAAAAAAAAAATAAACAATAAAATGAGGAACTCTTTTTCTCATGTGTATTTTGGTGACATTTAACATATTGTTAATACATTTTGTATACTGTTTACAAAGTTGTATATCATAAACCTGTCATCTGACGTTTTGCAATCTTTATAAATAAAAATGAGACCATAATATGAGGCATTGCGTTTGGACATAAACACGATCAGATAAGGCAATTTGTATGGGCAAAATTCAACTGAATATATTCCTTCATATAGCCCGTGAGGTTTTTTTTTGGGGGGGCGAGAGATTGCCCCGCCCCTTTTTCAGGTACTGGAGGCAACTGCCCCACAAAATTCCTGTGCACGTCCCTGGTTTCATATATGTGTGCGTGAATGAAGTTTGATTTAAGCCCTAGACGGCACCTCACATATTGTCGTCTTTTCGCGTGAAATATAACCAAACGAGCGCTTCTGCCTCGATGCCATGTTTGTTGAGTTCTGAATCAAAATAACGCAGCGCGTGTGTGACGTCATGACACATTTGCAATGTGCGGAACCGATAAGCGGAATCGTTAAGCAGGCATACTAACGGTTCCAAGGAATTGGTTCACTGGGAACCGGATCTGAAGAAGAACCGGTTCTCGATTCCCATCCCTAATTATGCTATCAAGAGTGTGAATGGCATTTATACTTCTGGAACCCCACAGTGATCTCTATAGGGCTGAGTGCAAAAGACTCACGTACAGTGGCACACAACCACCTTCCACCTGCTGGTGACACAAACATCTGGAGCACATGCACTGCAGCCCAGTGCAGAAGAGGTGAAACAAGATCTGAAAAAACAGAGGCAAACTCCATTCCCAAACCCTACCACACATTCCCAGCACAACCATCTCCCACCCCAGTGGTTCAAACCTAAACGCACTCTCAAACCCCTATACGCCACCCTCGGGGCCTGTAAATGACAATCTGGCTTTCCTGAGTTAGGGCCCAGAAAAGTAGGTGCCTGCCATTGCTGCTGTTAACATCTATATTAGCTGTTTGAGATTTCACTGCTGTAACAGAGCCCAGTCTTTGATGTGTGCTAAGTTCTTACACTGGCTGTTAAACAGAACAACTGGAATAGGTTTTCATCCTTTACGGCCCTTCGAGAAACTGAAGTCTGAAGTAAAAGCTTGACAGAAAGAGTCAGGCCAAATGAGCGTGTCAGAGAAATATGAGGCAAATTTGACATCTATTTAAATGTGCTGAAACACATTTAATCGTACATAAATAAATAAAAGGAGACACAAAATAGAAAGTTTAGTGGCGTTGCAGTATGGCATCCTTCTGATTTGTTAGTTTTCAATATCTCTCATACATAAGTACACACACTCACATTTCTGCGAATCTCAACTCACCTTTTCTGCCGGAGCTTGGAGGTCCCGGTGGCTTATCGGTTACTGACCCTTTAAAGAGAGAGCAGAATGTTTACTCAACTTTTGAAATGCAGTACAGTAACCACCTCACTTTGGGAGGACAGGTTAAATATGTTTAACTTGCACTTGTAGGAACACAGCATGCACTTTGGAAAGTCAGATACAAAAGAATACAAAGTGTAAGTGACAACTGTAACATCCAAACTTACACAAACAGTGATCAGCTCAAGAAAAAAAAAGTTAAAAGACTTTTACTCCCCCCCCCCAAAAAAACATAACCACTAGACCACTCTGGAACCACATTTTTCACTTCTAAATATGTTGAAATGTTATTATCTACAAATTAAGTTTCCTGTAATGCCAATCCCTTAAATTATTCCAGGTGTTGGGTGCGTTCATTCATTATGGATACGAAAAAGAAAAACACACACATGCACACACACACACACACACACACACACACGCACACACACACACACGCACACACACACACACACACACACACACACACACACACACACACACACACACACACACACACACACACACACACACACACACACACACACACACACACACACACACACACACACACACACACACACACACACACACACACACACACACACACACACACACACACACAGGTTTCCACGTTTTATGGGGACTTTCCATAGACATAATTATTATAGTTTATACTGTACAAACTGTATATTCTATCCCCTAACCGTAAACCTACCATCACAGAAAACTATCTGCATTTTTACATTTTGAAAAAACATCACTATGTATGATTTATAAGTTGTTTTCCTCATTGGGACCAAAAAATGTCCCCACAGGGACAAGGATATTGAATATTGCCATCTTTGTGGGGACATTTTGTCCCCATAACGTAGAGAATACCGGAACCACACACACACACACACATGCGCGCGTCGCACACGCACACAGAGAAATATTTTATTTATCCATTGTTACAATTATTACAACCATATTATTATTATTATTATTATTTACTGTTATTGACAATGGTACTGTAGACATACCTTCCTGCAGAATATATTCCCAACCTTGTTCTAACACACCAGATTTTAAGCAATTGTTTGAGCACTTCTGATTGGAATGGCACTACAGTATGTTTTTCATGATTTAAGTCTCCTGTGTATACATCAGTGTAATGATTGTTCTGTTGTATTTGATTAGTGTTGAAGCAAAATTCTGCAGCTAGATAGATCTCCAGGATTTAATATCCATACATAAAACACAGTTTAATGTGACATGAAACAGATAAAATACATTGAGGAGAGGATAGTTACTGTATGCACAAACAATCATCAATCACATTGATCCAAGTACGTGCAAATGCTCAGGATTAAAGGCATGCGTAAGTTCAAGATTAGACAGTCAAAAAATTAAAATGCTGGAAAGAAGGAGAACTTTGAACAAAAGGGCGATCTGGAATGAAATTTACTACCTGACAATCCACTTGTCCCAGCATGAGTTCCCATAAATTCACGGAAGTTTCCTGCAAACGTGTGCAAGACATTTCACTTAAGTGGTGATTCATGGGATTCACTCATTTCTGGGACAGGACTTTTGAGCATTCATGAAATATAGAACAGTGAGCCAATGTTGAGACAAGAGAATACATCGGAGTGTGACGTTATTGCAAAAAAAAAACCTTTAAAAAAAAAAATATATATACACTCACCGGCCACTTTATTAGGTACACCTGTCCAACTGCTCGTTAACACTTAATTTCTAAGCAGCCAATCACATGGCGGCAACTCAGTGCATTTAGGCATGTAGACATGGTCAAGACAATCTCCTGCAGTTCAAACCGAGCATCAGTATGGGGAAGAAAGTTGATTTGAGTGACTTTGAACGTGGCATGATTGTTGGTGCCAGAAGGGCTGGTCTGAGTATTTCAGAAACTGCTAATCTACTGGGATTTTCACGCACAACCATCTCTAGGGTTTACAGAGAATGGTCCGAAAAAGAAAAAACATCCAGTGAGCGGCAGTTCTGTGGGCGGAAATGCCTTGTTGATGCCAGAGGTCAGAGGAGAATGGCCAGACTGGTTCGAGCTGATAGAAGGGCAACAGTGACTGAAATAACCACTCGTTACAACCGAGGTATGCAGCAAAGCATTTGTGAAGCCACAACACGCACAACCTTGAGGCGGATGGGCTACAACAGCAGAAGACTCCACCGGGTACCACTCATCTCCACTACAAATAGGAAAAAGAGGCTACAATTTGCAAGAGCTCACCAAAATTGAACAGTTGAAGACTGGAAAAATGTTGCCTGGTCTGATGAGTCTCGATTTCTGTTGAGACATTCAGATGTTAGAGTCAGAATTTGGCGTAAACAGAATGAGAACATGGAACCATCATGCCTTGTTACCACTGTGCAGGCTGGTGGTGGTGGTGTAATGGTGTGGGGGATGTTTTCCTGGCACACTTTAGGCCCCTTAGTGCCAATTGGGCATCGTTTAAATGCCACGGCCTACCTGAGCATTGTTTCTGACCATGTCCATCCCTTTATGGCCACCATGTACCCATCCTCTGATGGCTACTTCCACCATGTCACAAAGCTCTAATCATTTCAAATTGGTTTCTTGAACATGACAATGAGTTCACTGTACTAAAATGGCCTCCACAGTCACCAGATCTCAACCCAATAGAGCATCTTTGGGATGTGGTGGAACGGGAGATTCGCATCATGGATGTGCAGCCGACAAATCTGCGGCAACTGTGTGATGCCATCATGTCAATATGGACCAAACTCCCTGAGGAATGCTTCCAGCACCTTGTTGAATCTATGCCACGAAGAATTGAGGCAGTTCTGAAGGCAAAAGGGGGTCCAACCCGTTACTAGCATGGGGTACCTAATAAAGTGGCCGGTGAGTGTATATATATATATATATATATTCACTGGCTGGCACCTAAATGTGAATCCTTTACCTTTGAAAGAAACAGTAATACAATAACAGGAAGAAAATCGAGAAACGTATTAAACAATTACTGGACAGAAATACTTTCAACTATTCCAGCTAAATGTGCAGAGGCAACTATAAGTAAGCCTTATATTCACTGATGCACTGAAGCACAGTTTACACAGTACACACAGTCTATTCATTTTAAAAACTAGTATGTGAAACAGTAAATGTAATGCTAAACAGTTGTGAGCTAAAGTGTTATCATTACCTAACAGCATCTAGCAAGTGCCTTCCAGTTCTCATCCCCAAAAATATAAACATTTCCTCTGCATTTTAATCAAATTAGTGCAAACAGAATGAAAAACATTGAGAGTCGAATCAGATGTTATGAAAAAAAAAGTTACAAAACTTTGGTTATACTATAGATGGCGCATTTTTTTAAGCCAAAACCTAGAAATGAGTTAGCATTTAAGCATTTCTGGTTCCGTCGTTCAGAAATCAGTGTTTTTTTTGGGGTTATTTTTGGTTAGAGTAGTATGGTAGCATGCTATGCTAATCACAGCCTCTCTTAGGCTACGTTCACACTGCAGGCTGAAACGACCCATTTTGCCCCTATGCGACCTGTATCTGATCTTTTCATGACGGTCTGAACGACACAGATCCGATCTTTTCAAATGCGACCCAGGCCACTTGGGTATGTGGTCCAAATCCGATATGTATCCGATCTATTGAAATCTTTTGCGACTTCAATCTGAACGGCCAGGTCACATGTATCCGACCCGCACGTCATTGATATGCGACAAACGTCATAATTCTGCGTTGAAGTAGGCGGGAATTGACCGTTGAGTACTCTTCTGCGCATGCGGGTCACTTCTGGGTCATTTCACGTTCACACAGGAGATCACAAAAGGTCGCATTTAATTGGAAATGTGAACGGACTTGCAAAAAAATCTCATTTTTTCAAAAAATCGGAATTGAGCATTAAGCCCCTAAAATGTGAACGCAGCCTATGTGATGCTCACAAAACATTGCTGTTTATTTGAGTGGCCCAATATAATAACAGTAAGAGTGTTCGACTTTGGCTGGATTTGACCGACCGGACAGATTTGCCGCTTGCAGTCGGGGGAGGAGTTGAAAACGGAGGTGTCAAGTCAGAGCCAAGTATTTGTCATATACATCGACGTTTCAGATGTTTTCATGTAGCAACATGTACACTTTTCATTCAGTACTTTCAAAACAACACGTGCATGTATAAGAATAAAATTCAAAATAAGCCTATTTACTATTTAAAGTGGGATCTATATTTTTTTATCGGTTTTATTTTGATAAACATGTCACAATATAACATTAAGAGTACATGAAAAGAGTTTTTCCAGCCGCTCTGTGCAGAATGAATCTGCTCTCGGATAGCTCTTGCATTTATGACAGTAACAGTGACGATGAGTGTATGCAGCGCCACAAGTCGAACACACTTCATGACTCAACTTCATGACACAACATGACTCAACCAACGCCATAAGTTTGAGGGCGGGACTTCCTGTTCATTAAACCAATAAATACTGCATCTCAATATTATGCCCTAAAAGTATGTACTCTTTTTTAGTGAAGAAAAAGTACATACTTTTGAGTGTGTATCAGAAGAGTAGGCAAGCTTTGGGACATACTACTTCATCATAACTGCGTCTTTAACGGACAGCTTTGTTATGTGCATCCTGTCACTGTTTAAACTGCCCTGTCAATCATCTTGTCACAGTTCAAATCCTCCACATTCAATTTAATTCCGTTTCGGAGAGAAATGCAGTAGCACGTTGATCTGCCAGTTGTGGGTCTTTAATGCAGAGAACTCTCCTCATGTGTTTGCATAATGATGCATTTAAAAGTTAATGACCGAACGTATCATTATAAAAGTTCACAATGTTGTTGCAGATGACATATAATGTGGATAACATTGAATAAAAATATTTTCGTCAGGTTAGATACTGATTATTAATTACTCAAACTACTTTATCCAAAGCTCTCTACTTAACCGTCAGTCTCTCACACCCGCCATGTTTGTAGGTTTTTAACAGTTTTTATTCATGATTGTAGTTCTAATCGAATCCTCATCCAATGCTCAATGGGTTGTGGGCAATATTAGCCATTAGGATGTGCATGGATTCGCAATTTGGATTTTAACCGGGTATCTTTGGAATACTCATTTCAACATACTACATTTTGGAACACGCCATTTCTAATTTTGATGAATTCTATTTAGGATGAATTGGGATGTAGCAAAGGGAAATCTTTTGGGAAACTTGTTTGGTAATTACATTTTTTAATTCTAGTGGTGCAGAAATGGTTACAGTATTAAGTAAAGTAACGGTAACACTTTAGTTGAAGGGGTGTGCATAAGACTGACATGACACCTTCATAATCATGACAGGACACATGTCATGAATATGAAGGAGGTTTTATGCATGTTTATGACAACTGTCATTAAGTGTCATTCGCTCAATTATGACATTTTTAATGCAAATATGACATTGTTTGAGATGTCTTTGTTATGACAACTTGACATAAACCAATACATCACAACCTCTCATATTACTAAGACAACACAACCTGTCATAAACATGACATAGCAGATTAATGATCAAACTTAAGAAAGCACTTAGCTTTATGGGTTAACATTACATTAAACTGTCATGTGGTTGGTTTTGACATTGGCTGTCATGAGGCATTATAACTGTGTCATGAATATTTTTCTTGACCTCAACTACAGTGGTACAAATTGAATTTGTCATTAAAATGTTATAATGGCCTCATGACAGCCAATGTCAAAACCAACCGCATGACAGTTTAATGTAATGTTAACCCATAAAGCTAAGTGGTTTCTTAAGTTTGATAATTAATCTGCTATGTCATGTTTATGACATATTTATGACAGGTTGTGTTGTCTTAGTAATGTCAAGTTGTCATGACAAAGACACTGACAGGTTATATTGTATTGGTTTATGTCAAGTTGTCGTAACAAAGACATCTCAAACAATGTCATATTTGCATTCAAAATGTCATAATTGAGCGAATGACACTTAATGACAGTTGTCATAAACATGCATAAACCTCCTTCATATTCATGACATGTGTCATGTCATGATTATGAAGGTGTCATGTCAGTCTTATGCACACCCCTTCAAGTAAAGTGTTACAAAAGTAACTTATGTAAAAAGTATGTTTTTGTACCATCCAATCATAATAATGATAATAAAAGAATTAATTATATGGAACAAGCTAAAAGTTTCACAGGTGTCTCTGCAATGCGCTACAGATGAACTGAACTGACAACGGTTGAAGGGACCATCCAGAAAGCTAGTAGAAATTTAACATCAGGGTTAGGTAAGCATGAGATGCATGGCATGTAACCATAAAATGTCAAGACACAAGAAAAAAATAGAACCAGGTGCTCCAGTCATAATGTAATCCAGTTCTGGCAGGAGTCGGTGGTGTTATCTCCAACAGAACAATCAGAGCCATTTGAGCAAAGTGTTCCCATTCATTTACGAAGAGACAAGCTCCCTCATCCCAACCGTCCGCTGAAAGCAGTTACACAATGAAAAAGAGAACGAGAAAGCAATGTTTGAGAAGAAGGAAAAATTGTAGAGAATGCAACGGATGAAGACAGAGATTGATGGAGTGTGAATTTGGAAAGAGACAGAAAGAGAGAAAAGAAGAAATGTAGAAACCATAAAGTAGAGAAAAGAAAAATGGATGAACTTTCGGAGTCGGCGCAAGTCCTCCAGGATATTATCCATCACCTCTCGGCTCCATGCACAAACACAGTGGAAGTAAACTAAACAGAGCGGTGGCTAGAGTTTAACATCACGCTGACTCCATCAAAACAAAGAGCACGATTTAAATCAAACAAAGTCTAACGGCTTTGAAAGTGATGGACTACAGGCGCAGCTTCTTGACCGAGGCACCTGATGGTTTAGCGGTTCTGCTTTTCAGCACGACCTAAACACAAAGCGATAATCCAAGCAAACAGTCTAGAGATAAAATCGCCATACATACAGTACCTGAACACACTGGCGTTTTGTTCTGGACAGAGGAACCGCTGACTGGCTTGCCATCTGTGGTCACGCACCAGCAGTATCCTGTGAGAGTGTGACACTGGACCTGGAGGAGATACAGACGGAGAGAGGTGAGAGGAAATTCCAGTAACTGCTCTTGTATCTCCTGGACGACCCGCACGAAACGTCCCGGCGCTTGCGCTGGGGGAATACAATTATTCCGAGTGAAAAACGACCCTCATAAACGATGAGGCATTAAAAGCTTAGGCGGACTGGATGATCTCTGTTTAACAAAGCAAAGGCGCAGGTGAAATAGAGGCTGCGCGTCTATAAATGCGATTTAATGTACACTTTCCATTCAGATTCCCAAAGCAGCCATGCTGATGAGAAACACAGGGAAGTGCAATTTTTTGGAATCCTATCAAGGCTGGGGAAGATGTTAGAAGGCTAATTTGTCCACTAGATAGATTTGCTTAAGGATTCGTCGATGTCAGAAGCAACATATTAAGTGCAGCGGCCCGGGACTCTGTCGGACCTGGGCAAATGTTCCGTCGTCGTTGCATTCTGGGATAAAAATGGATTCCTGTGGCCTCTTGGCTTGTTCCAGAGCCTGAATCCTCTCAGTCCGACATTTCGTCTGGCCTGCTTCTGTAATACAGAAACAAATATGCCTAATTACACACTTGACGTACAATTACCGCTAAACTTACATAAAGCTAGTGCCACAATGGGTTTGATTCTGCAGGGATTTCATTAAAAAATATATATAACTGCGTTCACTATATGTTGCATTGGAAAATATTATCTAGGAAATTAACAAATTGAATAATGTATAAGGCTGAGTAATAAGGGGGAAATTCACATAAGACACATAAACACTCCCACACTTTCCCCCCTACTTTTTGACCAGTGTACTCCCATGACTTTTCCAGTTGTTCATGATTACTGGATAGGGATTAAAAATAAATAAATAGAAATTTCACTGACAAAGAGCAGTTATATTTTAGATCTACGTAATAGAAATTTCCATGCCATTTCCATGATCTTTACAGGTATTACTCAAAGGTATTACTAATATTCTGGTTTTCCAGGCCTGGAAATCACCATTTCAAATTGCTTGATGTTTCCATGACCATGGAAATCCTAAAAACAAATAACAGGCGCATTTTTGAAGATATGATTATTAGGAAAGTTTTTAAAAAATGTTTTTTTTTTGGGGGGGAAATTTCAATCACAAAGAGCAATTCTATTTTAGTCCTGGGCAACTACAAAAATATATATTCACGAAAAAAAAAAAAATCAATGCCATTTTCATAACCTTTTAAGATATTATGAGTTTCATGAGTTTTCCTGGCTTAAAAACCACAATTTTAAAATAGCTGAATATTTCCATGACCATGGAAATCCTGAAAACAATTAACAGGCGGATTTCTGAAGATAGGATTATTGGAAAGGCCATCTCATTAAACAACCATCTAAAGAAATCTCATCACTTGTGGTAGGAAATGCATCATGAAGATTCGTAATCTTGAAACTTCATCTAAACAAGGAAAATATGAGGTTTTGAAATGGCAAAGCTGAGTGTCGTGTTCCAACATGTATAGGCACTTTATATGAATACAGAGAGTATTTAGTCATCCTAGTCAAATAAACAACACTTACAAGTTGGACCTCAGTACTGGACTGCATCCAAGAAACGGGGAGGCTAAAAACCATGTGATACCAGCAGATCATATTCACACTTTCAATATATTCACAATATTCAGCCTTAAAATGCTTGCTATACTTGCGTGAAGATATGAACCCGGACAGATGTAAGTTCAGCAAGCACACAAAGACAAACTGCAAATCTGCCCTACGCATGCCTGTGAGCAGATGCTCTTAAATCATCCATGATGCAAAAATGAGAAACACCTGTTGTATCTGTGAAGTCTGTGACCGATCGACTGGAAGAGACAGTTGGGCTGCAGTCAGCTCCAGACAACACAAGAGTTAATTATATTGATATATACAGAACAACCAAACCTCAAAACATCAGTTGTTAATCTGACCTTTTTCGGGTTTTTTTCTAATTGTACAACATGATTTCACCAAGTGCAAAATGTTCCTGGATCAACATCTTTGTTGATCCTGGAACAAAATTTCAATCAACCAATCAGATTTGAGGGACAAGTTTACAGTTTATGTCACGTTTAGGTTTACAACTAGCCTGGATGCCGGCCGAACTTAGCCCCGCACACAACATTTGAGGTCGGGAAGTTCGGTCTGACTCTGGACTTGATCCGTTGTGGAGCAACTATGCTCGAACCAAAGCTGTTCGGACCAATCAAATTGTCAGGGCGGGCTTTATACGATGATGGACAGATGATCCACGTCACCAAAGAGCGCTTGGGTTGAATTCGTTTACAACAAAGGTGGCTGACGCTGGAGAATTGAGATGTGTAGATTCAGCCATCGCGTCTGTTATAGAAGATGTAGACAGCGCATTCATTTTAAAAGAGGTTCAGAGAACCGCGATCAAGGCATTTGCCGATCGGAAAGATGTATTTGCAGTCCTTCCTATGGGATTCAACATATGTCACTTACTCCGTTGTTCTGATTAGTTGTAGGTCTATCCAATTGAGTGCAGAGGCATTTTCTTTCCAGGTTAGGTTGAAACACGCCCCATAATCATAGCTCAATGGAGCAGTATCAGACTCATATTCTGACTAGTATCTGAGTATGGCGATGTCAGGCTAGCTTACAACCAGAGTCAGGTGCTTCCACATCAGTGTTATTCACCTGTCATTTCCCTCTGATTTTAGGGATAATTTATGGGTAGGGATTGGTTTAGGGGTAGGGATATTGTTAGAATTAAATGTTGATCCAGGAACATGTAAAAAAAAAAAAAAAAAAAAATCAAGACAAAACAAGCCTTAATTATATATATAATATATTTAAAATTCAGTGAATTTATGTACATTTCTATGGGACAAAATATGCGATTTTTTTTTTTTTTTTTGGTAAATGACTTGTCTTTGTTCGTCTCGGGCCCTAATAAACCTAACTTTCCATTGTTTTTTTTTTATTTTCAATTTCCTATTTCAGTTTGCTAAAGATGTTTTTTGTTTGTAAGGTATATGAACTTTACGCTGAGTAAATAACGGTACTTGAACCAAAGTTTCTATTTAGCAGTACAAAATTTGAAACATCTAAAGAGAGTTTGTTAATAGACACCAATTAGTGTTTTCCTAAAAAAACAGTGATGACACCGATCATGCACCTTTAACTGACAGTTTAACACGGTCCAGTCTAAGAAACGTATGATGCAGGCTGACCGTGACTTAAAGACAGTCAATCTGCCTTTCAGTATGTGAACACGGCCTGCAAAAACTTACATGCATACCAGTGGGCATACGCGTTCCCTTGGTAGTTTGCTCTAATGCTCCAGGGACTGTATATTCTCTCTAGACTGACACGCACACAGATGTGTTCATTTGAGATCAGCCACGTTTTTGGTGCCAACACTTGAAACTAAGACAAAACTGCAACCCAATTTGAAAAAAAAAATGGTGAGGAATGTGAGACCAAAGCTGCCACAGAAGTTTTACAGTTTTTTACAATCACTTTGCTACTATTTTCAGAACCTTGATGTCATTTTTCAAAACTCTAGACACAAAACTCAAAACGGTTATCACTTGTAACACAGGCTGTCTAATGTTCAAAACATTGCATTGTGCATTCACATCTTTAAAGAAATCTTGCACTTGCACAATCATTGGTTCAAAAAACAAATTTACTGTGAAATACCATTGAAACATAACTATATATCACCCACACACAAGCAACCGATAGTTTCACTGTGTCATTGTTCGTACAATCATTAAACATTGTAGAACAAAATAGGTGATCCAGGTTTCATTATGGTCTACATGTACAGTAAATACATCTCTGTAAAAGCACTGCAGTAGTAGAGAGAATACACACATAGTGGAATCACTGAACAAAGTGTGTAATATATTGATGCAAAACACTACAGTGCAATCACAACACAGGTTTATTGGAATCAAAGCAAAAATATTAAATATTAGTCTACATCCATGGATATTGTAGTCTAATTGGTTCATGCTCCACGCTAATTGGTGACAATGAATCTCGTTATCTTGAAACTGTCATGATTTACTGTAAACATGGAAGATTGTGTGTCTGTTTCCATACAACTATGCATTAAGAGTAATGCAACAGTTACTTATCATTTTGAGCGGTTGTATCAATTGATAGTTAGATCATTGTAAGGAAATGAATAGACACTCATTTGAAATGTAATGTGTGAATTGCCTTTTGAAATAGTAGTACTGTGATGTTAAGTTGTGTCATATTGAACAGGTGATTTTTGTTGAATGAACAAATGATCTAAGTTTTATGTGTATTGTATCCAAGCAATTGAGAAAAGGGTATAGAGTTTTGAAAAATGTGCATTTTGATCATTGGTTGTGAGTTTTGTGTCTAGAGTTGTGAAAAATGACATCAAGGTTCTGAAAATAGTAACAAAATGATTGTAAAAAACTGTACATGTATTTAGCTAAAATATATGAGCAATATCACATGAGTAGTGATGGACGAGTTCGAAACACTGCAAGCTTCGAAACCTTTACGAATCTTGTTTCGAATCAGTGGTTTGGGGTGTGTATCAAACTGCCAAAGTCCCCTGATTTCAGTAAATGAGGCTTTAATACGTCATAACTGGTTCTGGTAATTGCATTTGATAGATTTTACTTTCAATAAAGCATTTGCAATGGGTTTGTAAAAGGTGTTTTTATGCATGTTTGGCCTGAGTTTTTGTTGCATTTACACTGTCCTGACCAGCAGGGCTCAGCAGTTTGTGGCATTTCAAACACTTCGAAACAGTGAAACATTTGAAAAGCTTCATTTCTTCCATCACAACACGAGTAGGAGTGCGATACTGCGTTTATACAACAGTTCGACAGCACAGGTGTGTAAATCAATAAAAACGAGGTGACTTAAAAAACCCTCTTGTGTCATTCAATTCTGAAGTTGACTGTTTAACAGATGAGCCCAAGCCTCCGTTACTAACTTGAAAACGCCACTTTAGAAGTAATGAAAGAACGCTGAGTTGCTTCACTTAAAGCTGCAGTCCGTAGCTTTTTTTGGGTTAAAAATGATCCAAAATACATTTTTGAACAAATACATAACCAGCCAGTGTTCAAAACTATCTGCTTGCCTTAGCTCGATTCAAAGCGGTAAGCTTGTAACAATGTTTTTAATTCTATTGGTAATGGTGGATTTCCGCAGGAGATTCGAGCATGTCTTTGCGCCATTACGTCACATCTGTACACACACATCTGTACACACACATCTGTACACATAAAGAAGAGTCTCGGCTAGTCGGCTATATTGCGTGTGAGGATGCTGGAGGTGGAGATTTATAGCCTTTTCTCACAGCACTTGATATAATTAAACTTATCAATTTGATGGCGGATCCAGAAAGGTTCAAACGACAATCACCAGTGACAACAGATTCACCCGCTGTAAAATGCAAAAGACTTTGTTCGGACTTCGGAGTGGCTATAGAAATAAAGATACTTGCAACCGGACCCATGCGAAAACAAGGATACATATCGGAAGGACATTAAATGTAGTCACGCAAT